GAGCACGCTACGAGGTAGAATGGTTCGGCGACAACCGGTGAGCCATATTTCAGGATTTCTGGTAGTCAAGATAATCTAAAAGAAGAGGTATCAATTAGAATTGATTGAAGACTCTGACTGGGTGGTCTAGAACAAACACTTCCTGGCTATAATATTTCCCAGCAAATAATAAATTTAAATGTTCCACAAGATAACACGAAGTAATTAGAGGAAGTGCAGTCATAGATGAGGCACATCGCATAATCTCCACACGAACGTGTCACAAAATACAAAGATGCTTTACTAGTAACTAGTACCGATAAAATATTCGAACTCGAAAGTTAGGTTTTACTCTCTCAGAGAACACAGAATCCAACCAAAAACGACATCTGTGCAGTAGCTATCACGAGTATCTTGGTTAGGGTTTTCATACCCTCGTCCCACGTCTAAGTCTGACCGCCCTTGAGCGTTTTCCAGCGTCTACCTGTCTTGGTGAACATCGTTCGCCATGGCAACCTATTTGGTGACGCGCAAAACATGGCCTGACCAGCATACTCTATGGAGGTCGACCACTTGCTCCAGTGGACCACCGCGATTACCTACAGCTCTACGTCCAACCTCAACGTTATTCATCCGGTTGGGTCGTCAAAAACCTACTTCAAACAGCGGGAAGTAGTATGTCGTCTACCTACATGAACCAGGAGAAACAACCTAGGCTTCCTTGCATCCCAACATGACTATCTGAAGTACATGACCGGTAATCCTACTGTGTCACATCGTTAGCTCCTTTTCAACCGAACCCACAGGAACCAACGCCATTTCTCCACACAAGATGGCCAAAAATGGAACCTATAAGGACGACAGAGATACGGGACGTTTCCCAAGTCAAACTAGGATTCAAGACCGAAGCAGCATTTTCGCGCTTGGATTTCAATTTTTATTGTTTTTTACTACAATGAACCATGTAACTAGATGAAGCAGTTTCGATTGTAGTATTTTGGCAGCCCGTTCGGATAAAGGAGCACAAAGAAACCTTGAGCTTAGAGCCGAAGAGGAAGGAGATTTCATATAAACTGAAGTGGCAGGGATAGTGAGTAGATGAACGAGTACCATTGTTTACAAGACTCAGCCACATCACTCGGTCACATAGAGCGAATTCGATCTCCTGGAAGGGCCAGCTACATCGACCCTTGTCATGACACCGTCATTAGGCTTTTAAACAGGAGCCAGGTGACCAGCCTGAAACCTCCCACATCCTGGAAGTACCGCCGCCGCCACTGTTTGTTCGCCACTGCTTATTTGTTGCGGTATGCGACAAATTATTCACAACTAACATTCGGTGAAGGTATTCCCCTATCCACAACCCGAAGACGCAACTGGTAGCACTCAGCTTTGCTTAACCCGTGGGCATTAAGGTTTTTATTCTACAGCCCATTTAGATAAAACAGCAGAATGATGATTCGAATGTTTACAGCAGATTCAAGCGAAAGATAGCGCAGTTACATAGACTGAAGTTACAAGAGTAATTAGATGTATGAGCGCCACTGTTTTCGACACCCAGGCATATCGCTCGATGTCTAACCATCGGTGATCATGATCTCGGGGTTCCCAGTCAGGGAGCCTAAGGGGACCTATATGAACCATTCTCCTGGTCAGTTTTCATACCCTCATACCAAGTCTTAGTTTGACCGCCCTTGACCTTTTTCCAATAGCTACCTGACTTGGTAAACATCGCTCGCCGCGGAAACCCTGGTGTCATACGTAGCACATGTCCTAGCCAGCGTAATCCGTGAAGGTCGACCAGTGGACAACCTTGATTACCTAAAACTCTACGCCCAACCTCGGCATTGGCCGTCCTGTTTCCCCACCAGATGAACTGGACACCGGCTCCCAATGGACTGCGGTTTTCGCACACCGCCCCGCTGCCCTGCGGGTCAGAATTTGGCTAGCCGAAAGCTCCGGTTGTGGATTCCTCAAGAAAATTAACCTGCCTTGGCCTGGGCAACCTGGCAGTACTCAGCCCACAAGCCAATCATGGAACATTTTTCTTTTTATAAAGATTATTGTACCATGATTTGTTTGGCACACAGTCTGTCCCCAGACAAGTGTGAAATATATATATACCACCAG